GAGAGACCAGAGAGACCAGAGAGAGAGACCAGAGACCAGAGAGAGACCAGGGAGAGACCAGAGAGAGACCAGAGACAGACCAGAGAGACCAGAGAGAGAGATCAGAGAGAGACCAGAGAGACAGACCAGAGAGAGACCAGAGAGAGACCAGAGAGAGACCAGAGAGACCAGAGAGAGATCATAGAGAGACTAGAGAGAGACCAGAGAGAGACCAGAAAGAGACTAGAGAGAGACCAGAGAGAGCAAAGAGAGACCAGAGAGAGACCAGAAAGAGAGACCAGAGACCAGAGAGAGACCAGGGAGAGACCAGAGAGAGATCATAGAGAGACTAGAGAGAGACCAGAGAGAGCAAAGAGAGACCAGAGAGACCAGAGAGAGACCAGAGAGAGAGACCAGAGAGACCAGAGAGACCAGAGAGAGAGAGACCAGAGACCAGAGAGAGACCAGGGAGAGACCAGAGAGAGACCAGAGACAGACCAGAGAGACCAGAGAGAGAGATCAGAGAGAGACCAGAGAGACAGACCAGAGAGAGACCAGAGAGAGACCAGAGAGAGACCAGAGAGACCAGAGAGAGATCATAGAGAGACTAGAGAGAGACCAGAGAGAGACCAGAAAGAGACTAGAGAGAGACCAGAGAGAGCAAAGAGAGACCAGAGAGAGACCAGAAAGAGAGACCAGAGACCAGAGAGAGACCAGGGAGAGACCAGAGAGAGACCAGAGACAGACCAGAGAGACCAGAGAGAGAGATCAGAGACCAGAGAGAGACCAGAGAGAGAGACCAGAGAGAGACCAGAGAGAGACCAGAGAGAGATCATAGAGAGACTAGAGAGAGACCAGAGAGAGCAAAGAGAGACCAGAGAGACCAGAGAGAGACCAGAGAGACCAGAGAGAGACCAGAGAGAGACCAGAGAGAGACCAGAGAGAGACCAGAGAGAGACCAGAGAGACCAGAGAGAGACCAGAGAGAGTATGCAAAAGCTGGGGCTGAGGGGATGTAAAAGTCCGATAACAGCTGTTGTTTGTTGATTTTGAATATTCATTCACTTCCTGCTGCGGCTTCACTTTGATCTTTCACCAAATACATTTAGACTCAGTAAAAACATTGTCACTGAACCTGCAGCGTCTCATTAGAATAAATACAGTACAATATGAATCTCTCATGTCGCATGTACTTGTCATATAAACCACCAGGGGGCAGCAGCTGTACAGGATCATCCCCCATTCACACACTCCAGACTCATTCTAATGTGGAGGAAGTGTCTTGCCCAAGGACACAGCATGTTGCTATAGGATACGGGACAGATGTTAAAGCGCAATGGAAACAAAACCAGGTTAGAGTCGAGTAAAGAGTATATACGTGTAGAGTTGAGTAGAGTAGAGTAGAGTACAGTAGAGTAGAGTAGGGTAGAGTACAGTAGAGTAGAGTAGAGTAGAGTAGAGAAGGGTAGAGTAGAGTAGAGTACATTAGAGTAGAGTAGAGTAGAGTAGAGTACATTAGAGTAGAGTAGAGTAGAGTAGAGTAGAGTAGAGTAGAGTAGGGCAGAGTTGAGTAGAGTAGAGTAGAGTACATTAGAGTAGAGTAGAGTAGGGTAGAGTAGAGTAGAGTAGAGTAGGGCAGAGTAGAGTAGAGTAGAGTAGAGTACATTAGAGCAGAGTAGAGTAGAGTAGGGTAGAGTACATTAGAGTAGAGTAGAGTAGAGTACATTAGAGTACATTAGAGTAGAGTAGAGTACATTAGAGCAGAGTTGAGTAGAGTAGAGTAGAGTACATTAGAGTAGAGTAGAGTAGAGTAGAGTACATTAGAGTAGAGTAGAGTAGGGTAGGGTAGAGTAGAGTAGAGTAGAGTACATTAGAGCAGAGTAGAGTAGAGTAGGGTAGAGTAGGGCAGAGTAGAGTAGGGCAGAGTTGAGTAGAGTAGAGTAGAGTACATTATAGTAGAGTAGAGTACATTAGAGTAGAGTAGAGTAGGGCAGAGTTGAGTAGAGTAGAGTACATTAGAGCAGAGTAGAGTAGAGTAGGGTAGAGTAGAGTAGAGTAGGGCAGAGTTGAGTAGAGTAGAGTAGAGTACATTAGAGTAGAGTAGAGTACATTAGAGTAGAGTAGAGTACATTAGAGCAGAGTAGAGTACATTAGAGTAGAGTACATTAAAGTAGAGTAGAGTACAGTACAGTACAGTACAGTAGAGTAGAGTAGATTGGAGTAGAGTAGAGTACATTAAAGTAGAGTAGAGTAGAGTACATTAGAGTAGAGTAGAGTAGAGTACATTAGAGTAGAGTAGAGTGCAGTAGAGTAGAGTAGAGTAGAGTACATTAGAGTACAGTAGAGTAGAGTAGAGTACATTAGAGTAGAGTAGAGTACATTAGAGTACAGTAGAGTAGAGTAGAGTACATTAGAGTAGAGTAGAGTAGAGTACATTAGAGTACAGTAGAGTAGAGTAGAGTACATTAGAGTAGAGTAGAGTACAGTAGAGTACAGTAGAGTAGAGTAGAGTACATTAGAGTAGAGTAGAGTAGAGTACATTAGAGTACAGTAGAGTAGAGTAGAGTAGAGTACATTAGAGTAGAGTAGAGTAGAGTACAGTAGAGTAGAGTAGAGTACAGTAGAGTACATTAGAGTACATTAGAGTAGAGTAGAGTAGAGTAGAGTAGAGTAGAGTACATTAGAGTACAGTAGAGTAGAGTAGAGTACATTAGAGTATAGAGTAGAGTCTCTGTGTGGATTGTGGATCACAGTTGTCACATTCCTCAGGGTCCTGGGTTCTTGCTCTTAAAGCTCAGGCATGGACGTCGGAACTATTTTCTGAGAGGGGGGCGGGTTTTTGTTGGGAGAGTCGAGGGAGAGACTCATACTTGGATTACACTGGATAATAACATACCATCTTAATTGTTAAGAAAAACAAAATAAACAATATATATCAAGCAAGTCACTTATCAAACTGAACTTTTTTTTTTTCAATACGCATTCATGCGTCAGTCTCTCCGGTGGCTTCATTGTGTTGTGTAGCCCAGTGACGTGCGGTCAGATGAGGCAGGCAAGGCCCTCACCTAAGATCATAGAAAGAAAAGTAATAAAATGGATACAATAATGTTTGGTCACTTTATCAAGTGATTTGTGCTGTGCCTTATTTCATTTATTTATACCTTGAAATCGCAGATTTGACAGAGCGGTGCTGTGAGGCGAGCCTCTCTTGGGAGACGTAAAAAGCAACAGTTCACAGGGAGAGTCCTGTGAGGTGCTATCAAACTGTTTTCCCTGTTTATCACAGTTTAAAAAGTTCAAAAATATTTAATTTACAATCAACATGTTTACATTTAAGAGGATGGCTCATAAATTGTGTTTTTGAAGCAAATATGGGTCTTAATCGCGCTCAACCACAGCTTGTAAGTGAGGAAAGCCTCAAGGGGGCGCTTGTGAGCCCAAACTTTGGCTGCATCCAATTCCATCAGAAAGCTCCTTTCTTGTTCTTCTTCTGCTAAGGGCAACTACAGGTTTGGCTAACATACCTATAATACATTTTAAGATAATTTAAAATGCACTTAGAGTAATGTTTTGCTTCCAATGATGATATGAATCATAAGAAAAGGAGGTGAAGGGTAAGGTTGAATTTAGAAATTGGATTTACCCGGGAGTCGGCTGCAGCAAAACTCGGAGTTTACGGAGGAGACACCCGTTTTTTTTACTTTTTAAAACTCATTGAACTTATTTCCAAATGGAGGATTACATGTCTGTGCCCAAACTATTATCTGGACTTAAACATGAAACTGGTCCTAACTGAAGTGGTCTGTGCTGTTCATTAATACCTAAGGTAAGGCCCATAACACACTTTGTACTATTTACAAACGTTTGCGTTTTGTATGAGAAAACAATGCAGACATTAAATCATATTCTGCTGTAGCCAAACAAATTGTGTATAAGCCGCTCCTGTTCCTGTAGGTCCTGTTGGTTAATATGATGTATAATATGAGGGCGGCACGGTGGCTGAGTGGATAGCACTCTCGTCTCTCAGCAAGAAGGTCCTGGGTTCGAATCCCGGTTGGACCAGGGCCTTTCTGAGTGGAGTTTGCATGTTCTCCCCGTGTCTGCGTAGGTTTCCTCCGGGTGCTCCGGTTTCCCCTACCACTAAAAATATGTACAATAGGTCTGGCATGTGCCTCCTGTACTGGCACCCCCACACAAAATCACAATTGTAAACCGCTTTGAGACTCCGATGTGCAGTGAAAAGGCGGTATATAAATAAAGATTACTACTACTACTACTACAACACATGATTGATCCCCCACCGCACGTCACTGGTGTAGCCAGGTCTCTAATCTGCGCAAGGCTGAGAAAGAGCGCTCAGAGGCTGCGACAGATATTAGCCAGACAGAGCTTCATAAGCTTCTCCGACAGCATGGAGCGGGTTTTGGGCTGCAAGGAACGCAGGATAGTGATAACTTCTCGCTCCCGGCACACGCGGAGGGGGTGCGGCCGCACCCCCCGCACCCCTAGTTCCGACGTCTATGAGCTCAGGTCCGTAACTTTCAAACAGCAGACCCTCTCTCAGCCAATCACAGCCCAGAGACTGTACGCTCTATTGGGACGAGGAGGTTGAGAAGTGAAAGTCAGGTACCCGAGCTTTAACTTTGATCTATTTCCTTTGATCTTTGCTCCTCCCGGTCCCTGCTCCTCCCGGTCCCTGCTCCTCCTGGTCCCTGCTCCACCCGGTCCCTGCTCCACCCGGTCCCTGCTCCACCCGGTCCCTGCTCCTCCCGGTCTCTGCTCCTCCTGGTCCCTGCTCCTCCTAGTCCCTGCTCCTCCTGGTCCGTCTGACCCGGTCCCGCCTCTGCTCCAGTGGGAGGGTCTCAGTCTCAGTCTCGGTCTCAGCCTCTCGGTCTCGGTTTTGGATCCGCTTCCGACTCCTCTGCGGCCGTGACCGAGCCTCTCACCGACGCCTTTTCTCCGATGGAGTCACGCGCGCGCACTGAGCAACCGATGGATTAATCGAGTTTAATCGGTTTCCAGCAGCGCACGCGGAGGTGAGTTAGTTTTTGACGCATCTGTTCACGGCACCATCTGAGTCCTCCGTTCGGGTTGGTTTAGTTTGTGGCTGTAACTTTTCGATCATTTAGTCGAGTAAACAAAGCGATGCGTAAGACAAGGAAGAGAAGTTTACTTGTATAGCACAGATGAAGGCGACTCGAAGGACTCACCAAAACCAGAAACTGTCAAGGATTAAAATACATTTTCACAGTTTCTTAAAAAGAGACAAAAGTGGTTTTAACCTGGATTTTTGAACATTGTCAGAGAGAAGTCTGTCTCACATTTTCAGGAAGACTGTTCTAGAACTAAGCTGCATGAATCTGAAATGACTCTGGGACCAGCAGGAGGCCAGTCCCTGTGCTCCTCAGAGTCCCAGCAGGAGGCCAGTCCCTGTGCTCCTCAGAGTCCCAGCAGGAGACCAGTCCCTGTGCTCCTCAGAGTCCCAGCAGGAGGCCAGTCCCTGTGCTCCTCAGAGTCCCAGCAGGAGGCCAGTCCCTGTGCTCCTCAGAGTTGGTTCATATCGCAGAGGGACTTTGGTGCGAGGCCTGGAAAGACTTGAAACAAGCAGAGACCTGAGACGAGGACTATGTTAGAGGACTTCAGGACCAAAGAGAGAGAGCAGAGAGAGAGACATGTCCAGTCAGAGCACTGCTGATCAGAGTGAGATGAGTTTATGAAACTAAAGTGTGGATTAATAGAAAACCAATGATTTCAAAATAGAAAAGTTGATGAGTACCATGGGTGGCCTCTAGTCCATGTGGGTCCGGCTGCAGTACCATGGGTGGCCTCTAGTCCATGTGGGTCCGGCTGCAGTACCATGGGTGGCCTCTAGTCCGTGTGGGTCCGGCTGCAGTACCGTGGGTGGCCTCTAGTCCGTGTGGGTCCGGCTGCAGTACCGTGGGTGGCCTCTAGTCCATGTGGGTCCGGCTGCAGTACCGTGGGTGGCCTCTAGTCCATGTGGGTCCGGCTGCAGTACCGTGGGTGGCCTCTAGTCCATGTGGGTCTGGCTGCAGTACCATGGGTGGCCTCTAGTCCATGTGGGTCCGGCTGCAGTACCATGGGTGGCCTCTAGTCCGTGTGGGTCCGGCTGCAGTACCATGGGTGGCCTCTAGTCCATGTGGGTCCGGCTGCAGTACCGTGGGTGGCCTCTAGTCCATGTGGGTCCGGCTGCAGTACCATGGGTGGCCTCTAGTCCGTGTGGGTCTGGCTGCAGTACCATGGGTGGCCTCTAGTCCATGTGGGTCCGGCTGCAGTACCGTGGGTGGCCTCTAGTCCGTGTGGGTCCGGCTGCAGTACCGTGGGTGGCCTCTAGTCCGTGTGGGTCCGGCTGCAGTACCGTGGGTGGCCTGTAGTCTAAGTATATTTTTAAACATTTTCTTTGTCACAAAATGTCTCTGGTCAGAAAACTACTATAAATATTTACCAGAGAATCTGCTGCGCCAAGAAATGTCAATCACACAGAAGGGGCGGGGCTTCTTCATATTAGGACTCCTGGTCTAAAGTAGGTCTAAAGTAGGTCTAAAGTAGGTCTAAAGCAGGTCTAAAGCAGGACTAAAGCAGGTCTAAGTCAGTCCTTGATGTTAGTGTACAATAGATGGATTCTTCAGGTGAATAAACCAGGTAAATATTGATGATGGTTTTGAACTGGACTTGAGCCGGTCTTGAGTCGGTCTTGAGCAGGTCTAGAGCCGGTCTTGAGCCGGTCTTGAGCCGGTCTTGAGCCGGTCTTGAGCCGGTCTTGAGCCGGTCTTGAGCCGGTCTTGAGCCGGTCTTGAGCCGGTCTTGAGCCGGTCTTGAGCCGGTCTTGAGCCGGTGGTGTGGGTGGAGGTGCTGGGAATGGAAGCAGCTGAACTCCTGACTCCAACGATGCGTTTAGGGACCGTGGCTCTGGTCGTAATTCATAAGATTCATGAAGACTGATCTCACACAAGACTGAAGGCACTAGGACCGGGTCAGGGCAAGACTGAAAGGACTGGACTAAATCAGGACTAAAGCAGGACTAAAGCAGGTCTAAAGCAGGTCTAAAGCAGGACTAAAGCAGGACTAAAGCATGACTAAAGCAGGACTAAAGCAGGACTAAAGCAGGACTAAAGCAGGACTAAAGCAGGACTAAAGCAGGACTAAAGCAGGACTAAATCAGGACTAAAGCAGGTCTAAAGCAGGACTAAAGCAGGTCTGAACCAGGACTAAAGCAGGACTAAAGCAGGACTAAACAGTTTGTTGTCTCAGATGATGCTGCTGCTGCTGCTGAGTGCCCTCTCCGTCTGTGCTCAAAGCGGATTGGACGACTCAGACCACGCCCCCAACGAGCCACACCTGGTTTCCCACGGCAACGGATGTCCAGGTAAAAACGAAACCAAAACACACTAAACAAAGGCAAATGTTGAGGAAGTGTTTGTGTTTGTAACGGACCAGGTCTGGACCAGGTCTGAACCAGGTCTGGACCAGGTCTGAACCAGGTCTGAACCAGGTCTGAACCAGGACTGAACCAGGTCTGAACCAGGTCTGAACCAGGTCTGAACCAGGTCTGAACCAGGTCTGAACCAGGTCTGAACCAGGACTGAACCAGGTCTGAACCAGGTCTGGACCAGGTCTGGACCATGTCTGAACCAGGACTGAACCAGATGTAAACCACATGTAAACCAGGATTAAGCCAGGTCTGAACCAGATCTGAAACCAGCTGCAGCCTCTAACCACAACTTCCTGCTGCGTGTGATGTCACAGGAAATGATCTGTTCTGCTTTTTGTGTCGACACTCGTCACTAATAATACTCACAAACGTATGCATTATACATACTTATATATACTTATACATACTTATACATTATACATACTTACTGTATACATACATACTCATACATCCATCCATCTTCCCCATAATCCATTTCTGGGTCGGTGGGGTGGCAGTCAGAGCTGCACCCAGTACACAGAGCACCATATACACACTTATACATACTTATTAATACATATACATACTTATACTCTCTGGTCTCTCTCTGGTTTATTTATTTATTTATTAAAGGGACAGTGCATATTAAAATACATTATGCATGTAAATATGCCAGAATTAGCCAAAAGGCTATTTTTCATAAGTGTCCTCCTGAAGGGAATAAAATTAAACATATCACAAACAGATAAAACATAACACAGTAAAATATATACAAGAAATACCCTCAATAACACAAATCAAACATATAGACATGAACACACAACTGTTACACACTCAACAAAAAATGAAGACAAGTCAGACTCACAAAGAACAAGAGGCCAGCAGGGGGCAGCGGTGAGGAGTCAGTGCTGACAGCTTTGATTATGAATGAGCCATTTTTTTACCTGTATTTTGAATGTTTCATATGTATTGGTGTTCCTAACTGTTGTATTGTTGTTCCTAACTGTTGTATTGGTGTTCCTAATTGTTGTGGGGGTGAGATTCCATTCATGGGCGGCTTTGACAGAATATGTTGATTGACCAAAGAGGCTTTTTCTCAGAGGGATGATGGTCTCTCTCTGGTCTCTCTCTGGTCTCTCTCTGGTCTCCCTCTGGTCTCTCTCTGGTCTCTCTCTGGTCTCTCTCTGGTCTCTCTCTGGTCTCTCTCTGGTCTCCCTCTGGTCTCTCTCTGGTCTCTCTCTGGTCTCTCTCTCTGCTCTCTCTCTGCTCTCTCTCTGGTCTCTCTCTGGTCTCTCTCTGGTCTCTCTCTGGTCTCTCTCTGGTCTCTCTCTGGTCTCTCTCTGGTCTCTCTCTCTGCTCTCTCTCTGGTCTCTCTCTGGTCTCTCTCTCTGGTCTCTCTCTGGTCTCTCTCTGGTCTCTCTCTGGTCTCTCTCTGGTCTCTCTCTGGTCTCCCTCTGGCCTCCCTCTGGTATCTCTCTGGTCTCTCTCTGGTCTCTCTCTCTGGTCTTTCTCTGGTCTCTCTCTCTGGTCTCTCTCTCTGGTCTTTCTCTGGTCTCTCTCTCTGGTCTCTCTCTGGTCTCCCTCTGGTCTCCCTCTGGTATCTCTCTGGTCTCTCTCTGGTCTCTCTCTCTGGTCTTTCTCTGGTCTCTCTCTCTGGTCTCTCTCTCTGGTCTTTCTCTGGTCTCTCTCTCTGGTCTCTCTCTGGTCTCTCTCTGGTCTCTCTCTGGTCTCTCTCTGGTCTCTCTCCGGTCTCTCTCTGGTCTCTCTCTGGTCTCTCTCTGGTCTCTCTCTGGTCTCTCTCTGGTCTCTCTCTGGTCTCTCTCTGGTCTCTCTCTGGTCTCCCTCTGCTCTCTCTCTGGTCTCTCTCTGGTCTCTCTCTGGTCTCTCTCTGGTCTCTCTCTGGTCTCTCTCTGGTCTCTCTGTTTTTTCTTGTGGAGTTAAGTGTTAATTATTGAGGATTTATTTTACGCCACAGAAGAAAAGAAGAGATTAGAAAAGAGCAGCTGAGAGATGGGAATAACACATGTGGACCAGGACTGAGACCAGGACTGAGACCAGGACTGAGACCAGGACTGAGACCAGGACTGAGACCAGGACTGAGACCAGGACTGAGACCAGGACTGAGACCAGGACTGAGACCAGGACTGAGACCAGGACTGAGACCAGGACTGAGACCAGGACTGAGACCAGGACTGAGACCAGGACTGAGACCAGGACTGAGACCAGGACTGAGACCAGGACTGAGACCAGACTCAGGTCTTGTCTCTCAGATTGAAAAAAGTGATGAATAGAAGTGTGTGTGTGTATCTGTGTGTGTGTCTGTGTGTGTCTCTGTGTGTGTGTCTGTGTGTCTGTGTGTGTGTCTGTGTGTGTGTCTGTGTGTGTGTCTGTGTGTGTCTCTGTGTGTGTGTGTTGTTTCCATTATAACACAACCTGTTGATTGTATTGTGTCTAAATGATGAACTCTTTCCTCGTGGGACGTCTGCTTCATGTCTTTACACACCATACTGTACAAACAACACACACTCTCTGGTCTCTCTCTGGTCTCACTCTGGTCTCTCTCTGGTCTCTCTCTGGTCTCTCTCTGGTCTCTCTCTGGTCTCACTCTGGTCTCTCTCTGGTCTCTCTCTGGTCTCTCTCTGGTCTCTCTCTGGTCTCTCTCTGGTCTCTCTCTGGTCTCTCTCTGGTCTCACTCTGGTCACTCTCTGGTCTCTCTCTGGTCTCTCTCTGGTCTCTCTCTGGTCTCTCTCTGGTCTCTCTCTGGTCTCTCTCTGGTCTCACTCTGGTCTCTCTCTGGTCTCTCTCTGGTCACTCTCTGGTCTCTCTCTGGTCTCTCTCTGGTCTCTCTCTGGTCTCTCTCTGGTCTCTCTTTGGTCTCTCTCTGGTCTCTCTCTGGTCTCTCTCTGGTCTCTCTCTGGTCTCTCTCTGGTCTCACTCTGGTCTCACTCTGGTCTCACTCTGGTCTCTCTCTGGTCTCTCTCTGGTCTCACTCTCTCTGGTCTCACTCTGGTCTCTCTCTGGTCTCTCTCTGGTCTCTCTCTGGTCTCACTCTGGTCTCTCTCTGGTCTCTCTCTGGTCTCTCTCTGGTCTCTCTCTGGTCTCACTCTGGTCTCACTCTGGTCTCTCTCTGGTCTCTCTCTCTGGTCTCTCTCTGGTCTCTCTCTGGTCTCTCTCTGGTCTCACTCTGGTCTCTCTCTGGTCTCTCTCTGGTCTCTCTCTGGTCTCTCTCTGGTCTCTCTCTGGTCTCTCTCTGGTCTCTGGTCTCTGGTCTGGTCTCTCTCCCTCTGGCCTCTCTCTGGTCTCTCTCTCTGGTCTCTCTCTGGTCTCTCTCTGGTCTCTCTCTGGTCTCTCTCTGGTCTCTCTCTGGTCTCTCTCTGGCCTCTCTCTGGTCTCTCTCTGGTCTCTCTCTGGTCTCTCTCTGGTCTCTCTCTGGTCTCTCTCTGGTCTCTCTCAGGTCTCTCTCTGGTCTCTGGTCTCTCTCTGGTCTCTCTCTGGTCTCTCTCTGGTCTCTCTCTGGTCTCTCTCTGGTCTCTGGTCTCTCTCTGGTCTCTCTCTGGTCTCTGTCCTCTCTCTGGTCCCTCTCTCTGGTCTCTCTCTGGTCTCTGGTCTCTCTCTGGTCTCTCTCTCTGGTCTCTCTCTGGTCTCTCTCTCTGGTCTCTCTCTGGTCTCTCTCTGGCCTCTCTCTGGTCCCTCTCTCTGGTCTCTCTCTGGTCTCTCTCTGGTCTCTCTCTGGTCTCTGGTCTCTCTCTGGTCTCTGGCCTCTCTCTGGTCTCTCTCTCTGGTCTCTCTCTGGTCTCTCTCTGGTCTCTCTCTGGTCTCTCTCTGGTCTCTCTCTGGTCTCTCTCTGGTCCTCTCTCTGGTCCCTCTCTCTGGTCTCTCTCTGGTCTCTGGTCTCTCTCTGGTCTCTCTCTGGTCTCTCTCTGGTCTCTCTCTGGTCTCTCCTCTGGCCTCTCTCTGGTCTCTCTCTGGTCTCTCTCTGGTCTCTCTCTGGTCTCTGGTCTCTCTCTGGTCTCTCTCTGGTCTCTGGTGGTGATGTCACATGTTTGTCCTCCTCAGACCTGTGCCTCGTCGACGCCCCCTTGTGTCAGGATGAAAACTCCAGACTGAGCTTCGACGCCGTTTGTCAGATCCACAGGATGATGGACGACGACGCAGACGGGAGCATCGATAGTGTGGAGACGGACGGGGTCAGGACCAGGAGAGACCAGAGAGAGAGACCAGAGAGAGAGACCAGAGAGAGAGAGACCAGAGAGAGACCAGACCCAGAGAGAGAGACCAGAGAGAGAGACCAGAGAGAGAGACCAGAGAGAGAGACCAGAGAGAGACCAGAGAGAGAGACCAGAGAGAGAGACCAGAGAGAGAGACCAGAGAGAGAGACCAGAGAGAGAGACCAGAGAGAGAGACCAGAGAGAGAGACCAGAGAGAGACCAGAGAGAGAGACCAGAGAGAGAGACCAGAGAGAGAGACCAGAGAGAGAGACCAGAGAGAGACCAGAGAGAGACCAGAGAGAGACCAGAGAGAGACCAGAGAGAGACCAGAGAGAGAGACCAGAGAGAGAGACCAGAGAGAGAGACCAGAGAGAGAGACCAGAGAGAGAGACCAGAGAGAGAGACCAGAGAGAGAGACCAGAGAGAGACCAGAGAGACACCAGAGAGACACCAGAGAGACACCAGAGAGACACCAGAGAGACACCAGAGAGACACCAGAGAGACACCAGAGAGACACCAGAGAGACACCAGAGAGACCAGAGACACCAGAGACACCAGAGACACCAGAGACACCAGAGACACCAGAGACACCAGAGACACCAGAGACACCAGAGACACCAGAGACACCAGAGACACCAGAGAGACCAGAGAGAGACCTTCTCCCTCTGGTGGCAGCATAGGGAGTTTTTACTGTAATATATTTTTTACAAATTCTAAAACATTAAACGACAAAGTAAATAGTTTTGTTTTTGTTTGCAGGAAGATCACGTTTTCATCTGTTTTATGAAAGTCTAGGTCACATGGTCCTGTCACATGGTCCATGATGTTTTGTTCTATTTGTCGTTTCAGTTTCTTCGCGACGACATGAAGTTTTCAGACTCAAAAACCAAACGACGAAACTTTCACCGCATCGACCTCCACATCAGCATCGAGGACATGTGGAGGACCTGGAAGCACTCCGAGGGTCAGTCCCGGTCTAGTCCTGGTGCTGGTCCTGGTCTAGTCTTCGTTCTGATCCAGATTCTGCTCCAGGTTCTGGTCCAGGTCTCTGTCTTGGTCTCTGTCTTTGTCTCACTCCTGGTCTCACTCCTGGTCTCACTCCTGGTGCTGGTCCAGGTCCTGGTCTCAGTCTCAGTCCTGGTCCTGGTCTAGTCCTGGTGCTGGTCCTGATTATGGTCCAGATCTCTGTTTTGGTCTCTGTCTTGGTCTCAGTCCTGTCTCACTCCTGGTCTCAGTTCTGGTATCTGTCTTGGTCTCAGTCCTGTCTCACTCCTGGTCTCAGTTCTGGTATCTGTCTTGGTCTCCGTCTTGGTCTCAGTCCTGGTCTCAGTCCTGGTCTCGGTCTCGGTCCCGGTCTCGGTCATGGTCCCGGTCTCGGTCATGGTCCCGGTCTCGGTCATGGTCCCGGTCTCGGTCTCGGTCCCGGTCTCGGTTCCGGTCTCGGTCTCAGTCCTGGTCTCAGTCCTGGTCTCAGTCCTGGTCTCAGTCCTGGTCTCAGTTCTGGTCTCAGTCCTGGCCCTGGTCCTGATCTCAGCCCTCGTCCTGGTCTCAGTCCTGGTCTCAGTCCTGGTCTCAGTCCTGGTCTCAATCCTGGTCCTGGTCTCAGTCCTGGTCTCAGTCCTGATCCTGGTCTCAGTCCTGGTCCTGGTCTCAGTCCTGGTCTCAGTCCTGGTCTCAGTCCTGGTCTCAGTCCTGGTCTCAGTCCTGGTCTCAGTCCTGGTCTCAGTCCTGGTCTCAGTCCTGGTCTCAGTCCTGGTCTCAGTCCTGGTCCTGGTCTCTGTTTCAGTCTATAACTGGTCCGTGGAGACGGTGGGGCAGTGGTTGTGTCTCAGTGTGGAGCTGCCTCAGTATTCTGACACCATCAACGCTCTGGGACTCAACGGGACCAGTCTGCCCAGGTACCAGAGGGGGAGGGACTAACCAGGTACCAGAGGGGGAGGGACTAACCAGGCACCAGAGGGGGAGGGACTAACCAGGCACCAGAGGGGGAGGGACTAACCAGGCACCAGAGGGGGAGGGGAAAACCAGGCACCAGAGGGGGAGGGACTAACCAGGTACCAGAGGGGGAGGGACTAACCAGGTACCAGAGGGGGAGGGACTAACCAGGGACCAGAGGGGGAGGGACTAACCAGGGACCAGAGGGGGAGGGACTAACCAGGGACCAGAGGGGGAGGGACTAACCAGGTACCAGAGGGGGAGGGACTAACCAGGTACCAGAGGGGGAGGGACTAACCAGGGACCAGAGGGGGAGGGACTAACCAGGTACCAGAGGGGGAGGGACTAACCAGGGACCAGAGGGGGAGGGACTAACCAGGCACCAGAGGGGGAGGGACTAACCAGGTACCAGAGGGGGAGGGACTAACCAGGGACCAGAGGGGGAGGGACTAACCAGGTACCAGAGGGGGAGGGACTAACCAGGTACCAGAGGGGGAGGGACTAACCAGGTACCAGAGGGGGAGGGACTAACCAGGCACCAGAGGGGGAGGATGTGTGTGTGTTGTGATGTGTGTGTGTTGTGTGTACAGGTGTGTGATGTGTGTGTGTTGTGTGTACAGGTGTGTGTTGTGATGTGTGTGTTGTGTGTACAGGTGTGTGTTGGGATGTGTGTGTATTGTGTGTACAGGTGTGTGTTGGGATGTGTGTGTGTTGTGTGTACAGGTGTGTGTTGTGATGTGTGTGTGTTGTGTGTACAGGTGTGTGTTGTGATGTGTGTGTGTTGTGTGTACAGGTGTGTGTTGTGATGTGTGTGTATTGTGTGTACAGGTGTGTGTTGTGATGTGTGTGTATTGTGTGTACAGGTGTGTGTTGTGATGTGTGTGTATTGTGTGTACAGGTGTGTGTTGTGATGTGTGTGTATTGTGTGTACAGGTGTGTGTTGTGATGTGTGTGTATTGTGTGTACAGGTGTGTGTTGTGATGTGTGTGTGTTGTGTGTACAGGTGTGTGTTGTGATGTGTGTGTGTTGTGTGTACAGGTGTGTGTTGTGATGTGTGTGTGTTGTGTGTACAGGTGTGTGTTGTGATGTGTGTGTGTTGTGTGTACAGGTGTGTGTTGGGATGTGTGTGTGTTGTGTGTACAGGTGTGTGTTGTGATGTGTGTGTGTTGTGTGTACAGGTGTGTGTTGTGATGTGTGTGTGTTGTGTGTACAGGTGTGTGTTGTGATGTGTGTGTGTTGTGTGTACAGGTGTGTGTTGTGTGTACAGGTGTGTGTTGTGATGTGTGTGTGTTGTGTTGTACAGGTGTGTGTTGTGATGTGTGTGTGTTGTGTGTACAGGTGTGTGTGTTGTGTGTACAGGTGTGTGTTGTGTGTACAGGTGTGTGTTGTGATGTGTGTGTGTTGTGTGTACAGGTGTGTGTTGTGATGTGTGTGTGTTGTGTGTACAGGTGTGTGTTGTGATGTGTGTGTGTTGTGTGTACAGGTGTGTGTTGTGATGTGTGTGTGTTGTGTGTACAGGTGTGTGTTGTGATGTGTGTGTATTGTGTGTACAGGTGTGTGTTGTGATGTGTGTGTGTTGTGTGTACAGGTGTGTGTTGTGATGTGTGTGTGTTGTGTGTACAGGTGTGTGTTGTGTGTACAGGTGTGTGTTGTGATGTGTGTGTTGTGTGTACAGGTGTGTGTTGTGATGTGTGTGTGTTGTGTGTACAGGTGTGTGTTGTGATGTGTGTGTGTGTTGTGTGTACAGGTGTGTGTTGTGATGTGTGTATTGTGTGTACAGGTGTGTGTTGTGATGTGTGTGTTGTGTGTACAGGTGTGTGTTGTGATGTGTGTGTGTGTTGTGTGTACAGGTGTGTGTTGTGTGTACAGGTGTGTGTTGTGATGTGTGTGTATTGTGTGTACAGGTGTGTGTTGTGATGTGTGTGTGTTGTGTGTACAGGTGTGTGTTGTGATGTGTGTGTGTTGTGATGTGTGTGTATTGTGTGTACAGGTGTGTGTTGTGATGTGTGTGTGTTGTGTGTACAGGTGTGTGTTGTGATGTGTGTGTGTTGTGTGTACAGGTGTGTGTTGTGATGTGTGTGTGTTGTGATGTGTGTGTTGTGTGTACAGGTGTGTGTTGTGATGTGTGTGTGTTGTGTGTACAGGTGTGTGTTGTGTGTACAGGTGTGTGTTGTGATGTGTGTGTGTGTGTGTGTACAGGTGTGTGTTGTGATGTGTGTGTTGTGTGTACAGGTGTGTGTTGTGATGTGTGTGTATTGTGTGTACAGGTGTGTGTTGTGATGTGTGTGTGTTGTGTGTACAGGTGTGTGTTGTGATGTGTGTGTGTTGTGTGTACAGGTGTGTGTTGTGATGTGTGTGTGTGTTGTGATGTGTGTGTGTGTGTGATGTGTGTGTGTGTTGTTGTGTGTACAGGTGTGTGTTGTGATGTGTGTGTGTTGTGATGTGTGTGTGTTGTGTGTACAGGTGTGTGTGTGTTGTGTGTACAGGTGTGTGTTGTGATGTGTGTGTGTATTGTGTGTACAGGTGTGTGTTGTGATGTGTGTGTGTTGTGTGTGTACAGGTGTGTGTTGTGATGTGTGTGTGTTGTGTGTACAGGTGTATGTTGTGATGTGTGTGTGTTGTGTGTACAGGTGTGTGTTGTGTGTACAGGTGTGTGTTGTGATGTGTGTGTGTTGTGTGTACAGGTGTGTGTTGTGATGTGTGTGTTGTGTGTACAGGTGTGTGTTGTGATGTGTGTGTTGTGTGTACAGGTGTGTGTTGTGATGTGTGTGTGTTGTGTGTACAGGTGTGTGTTGTGATGTGTGTGTGTTGTGTGTACAGGTGTGTGTTGTGATGTGTGTGTGTTGTGTGTACAGGTGTGTGTTGTGATGTGTGTGTGTTGTGATGTGTGTACAGGTGTGTGTTGTGATGTGTGTGTGTTGTGTGTACAGGTGTGTGTTGTGATGTGTGTGTGTGTGTGTGTGTACAGGTGTGTGTTGTGATGTGTGTGTGTGTGTGTGTACAGGTGTGTGTTGTGATGTGTGTGTTGTGTGTACAGGTGTGTGTTGTGTGTACAGGTGTGTGTTGTGATGTGTGTGTGTTGTGATGTGTGTACAGGTGTGTGTTGTGTGTACAGGTGTGTGTTGTGATGTGTGTGTGTTGTGTGTACAGGTGTGTGTTGTGTGTACAGGTGTGTGTTGTGATGTGTGTGTGTTGTGTGTACAGGTGTGTGTTGTGATGTGTGTGTTGTGTGTACAGGTGTGTGTTGTGTGTACAGGTGTGTGTTGTGATGTGTGTGTGTTGTGTGTACAGGTGTGTGTTGTGATGTGTGTGTGTTGTGATGTGTGTTGTGTGTACAGGTGTGTGTTGTGATGTGTGTGTGTTGTGTGTACAGGTGTGTGTTGTGATGTGTGTGTGTGTTGTGTGTACAGGTGTGTGTTGTGATGTGTGTGTGTTGTGTGTGTGTGTGTGTACAGGTGTGTGTTGTGTTGTGTGTTGTGTTGTGTGTGTTGTGTGTGTGTTTTGTGTGTACAGGTGTGTGTTGTGATGTGTGTGTGTTGTGTGTACAGGTGTGTGTTCTGTGTACAGGTGTGTGTTGTGATGTGTGTGTGTTGTGTGTACAGGTGTGTGTTGTGATGTGTGTGTGTTGTGTGTACAGGTGTGTGTTGTGATGTGTGTGTGTTGTGTGTACAGGTGTGTGTTGTGATGTGTGTGTGTTGTGTGTACAGGTGTGTGTTGTGATGTGTGTGTGTTGTGTGTACAGGTGTGTGTTGTGATGTGTGTGTGTTGTGTGTACAGGTGTGTGTTGTGTGTACAGGTGCGTGTTGTGATGTGTGTGTGTTGTGTGTGTACAGGTGTGTGTTGTGATGTGTGTGTGTTGTGTGTACAGGTGTGTGTGTTGTGTGTACAGGTGTGTGTTGTGTGTACAGGTGTGTGTTGTGTGTACAGGTGTGTGTTGTGATGTGTGTGTGTTGTGTGTACAGGTGTGTGTTGTGATGTGTGTGTGTTGTGTGTACAGGTGTGTGTTGTGATGTGTGTGTATTGTGTGTACAGGTGTGTGTTGTGATGTGTGTGTGTTGTGTGTACAGGTGTGTGTTGTGTGTACAGGTGTGTGTTGTGATGTGTGTGTTGTGTGTACAGGTGTGTGTTGTGTGTGTGTGTGTGTGTGTGTGTACAGGTGTGTGTTGTGATGTGTGTGTTGTGTGTACAGGTGTGTGTTGTGATGTGTGTGTGTTGTGTGTACAGGTGTGTGTTGTGATGTGTGTGTGTGTTGTGTGTACAGGTGTGTGTTGTGATGTGTGTATTGTGTGTACAGGTGTGTGTTGTGATGTGTGTGTTGTGTGTACAGGTGTGTGTTGTGATGTGTGTGTGTGTGTGTGTGTACAGGTGTGTGTTGTGTGTACAGGTGTGTGTTGTGATGTGTGTGTATTGTGTGTACAGGTGTGTGTTGTGATGTGTGTGTGTTGTGTGTACAGGTGTGTGTTGTGATGTGTGTGTATTGTGTGTACAGGTGTGTGTTGTGATGTGTGTGTGTTGTGTGTACAGGTGTGTGTTGTGATGTGTGTGTGTTGTGTGTACAGGTGTGTGTTGTGATGTGTGTGTGTTGTGATGTGTGTGTTGTGTGTACAGGTGTGTGTTGTGATGTGTGTGTGTTGTGTGTACAGGTGTGTGTTGTGTGTACAGGTGTGTGTTGTGATGTGTGTGTGTTGTGTGTACAGGTGTGTGTTGTGATGTGTGTGTTGTGTGTACAGGTGTGTGTTGTGATGTGTGTGTATTGTGTGTACAGGTGTGTGTTGTGATGTGTGTGTGTTGTGTGTACAGGTGTGTGTTGTGATGTGTGTGTGTTGTGTGTACAGGTGTGTGTTGTGATGTGTGTGTGTGTTGTGATGTGTGTGTGTGTTGTGATGTGTGTGTGTGTTGTGTGTACAGGTGTGTGTTGTGATGTGTGTGTGTTGTGATGTGTGTGTGTTGTGTGTACAGGTGTGTGTGTGTTGTGTGTACAGGTGTGTGTTTGTGATGTGTGTGTGTATTGTGTGTACAGGTGTGTGTTGTGATGTGTGTGTGTTGTGTGTACAGGTGTGTGTTGTGATGTGTGTGTGTTGTGTGTACAGGTGTATGTTGTGATGTGTGTGTGTTGTGTGTACAGGTGTGTGTTGTGTGTACAGGTGTGTGTTGTGATGTGTGTGTGTTGTGTGTACAGGTGTGTGTTGTGATGTGTGTGTTGTGTGTACAGGTGTGTGTTGTGATGTGTGTGTTGTGTGTACAGGTGTGTGTTGTGATGTGTGTGTGTTGTGTGTACAGGTGTGTGTTGTGATGTGTGTGTGTTGTGTGTACAGGTGTGTGTTGTGATGTGTGTGTGTTGTGTGTACAGGTGTGTGTTGTGATGTGTGTGTGTTGTGATGTGTGTACAGGTGTGTGTTGTGATGTGTGTGTGTTGTGTGTACAGGTGTGTGTTGTGATGTGTGTGTGTTGTGTGTACAGGTGTGTGTTGTGATGTGTGTGTGTTGTGTGTACAGGTGTGTGTTGTGATGTGTGTGTTGTGTGTACAGGTGTGTGTTGTGTGTACAGGTGTGTGTTGTGATGTGTGTGTGTTGTGATGTGTGTGTGTTGTGATGTGTGTGTTGTGTGTACAGGTGTGTGTTGTGATGTGTGTGTTGTGTGTACAGGTGTGTGTTGTGATGTGTGTGTGTTGTGTGTACAGGTGTGTGTTGTGTGTACAGGTGTGTGTTGTGATGTGTGTGTGTTGTGTGTACAGGTGTGTGTTTGTGTGTACAGGTGTGTGTTGTGATGTGTGTGTTGTGTGTACAGGTGTGTGTTGTGTGTACAGGTGTGTGTTGTGATGTGTGTGTGTTGTGTGTACAGGTGTGTGTTGTGATGTGTGTGTGTTGTGATGTGTGTTGTGTGTACAGGTGTGTGTTGTGATGTGTGTGTGTTGTGTGTACAGGTGTGTGTTGTGATGTGTGTGTGTTGTGTGTACAGGTGTGTGTTGTGATGTGTGTGTGTTGTGTGTGTGTGTTGTGTGTACAGGTGTGTGTTGTGTGATGTGTGTGTGTTGTGTGTACAGGTGTGTGTTGTGATGTGTGTGTGTTGTGTGTACAGGTGTGTGTTGTGTGTACAGGTGTGTGTTGTGATGTGTGTGTTGTTGTGTGTACAGGTGTGTGTTGTGATGTGTGTGTATTGTGTGTACAGGTGTGTGTTGTGGTGTGTGTTGTGTGTACAGGTGTGTGTTGTGATGTGTGTGTGTTGTGTGTACAGGTGTGTGTTGTGATGTGTGTGTGTTGTGTGTACAGGTTGGCAGTGAAGAACTCGACTCTTTCTGGATCTTTGCTGAAAATCTCTGATCGAAGCCACGCCCAGAAACTTCAGCTCAAAGCCCTGGACACGGTTCTGTTCGGCCCCCCACCAGGTGAGAGGCCCCCACCTGGTATCTGTGAGGCCCCCACCAGGTGAGAGGCCCCCACCTGGTATCTGTGAGGCCCCCACCAGGGGAGAGGCTTTCTTGCCTTTGGTCTATGGTTTCTGGTCTCTCTGGTCTCTGGTCCCTGGTCTCTGGTCTCTCTGGTCTCTGGTCTCTCTGGTCTCTGGTCCCTGGTCTCTGGTCTCTCTGGTTTCTGGTCTCTGGTCTCTCTGGTCTCTGGTCTCTGGTCTCTCTGGTCTCTGGTCTCTGGTCTCTCTGGTTTCTGGTCTCTGGTCTCTCTGGTCTCTGGTCTCTGGTCTCTCTGGTCTCTGGTTTCTGGTCTCTCTGGTCTCTGGTCTCTCTGGTCTCTGGTCTCTGGTCTCTCTGGTCCCTGGTCTCTGGTCTCTCTGGTCCCTGGTCTCTCTGGTCTCTCTGGTCCCTGGTCTCTGGTCTCTCTGGTCTCTGGTCTCTGGTCTCTCTGGTCTCTGGTCTCTGGTCTCTCTGGTCTCTGGTCTCTGGTCTCTGGTCTCTCTGGTCCCTGGTCTCTGGTCTCTCTGGTCCTCTGGTCTCTGGTCTCTCTGGTCCCTGGTCTCTGGTCTCTCTGGTCTCTGGTCCTCTGGTCCCCTGGTGTCTGGTCCTCTGGTCTCTCTGGTCTCTGGTCTCTGGTCTCTGGTCTCTCTGGTCTCTGGTCCCTGGTCTCTCTGGTCTCTCTGGTCTCTGGTCCCTGGTCTCTCTGGTCTCTCTGGTCCCTGGTCTCTGGTCTCTCTGGTCTCTGGTCCCTGGTCTCTGGTCTCTCTGGTCTCTGGTCTCTGGTCTCTGGTCTCTGGTCTCTGGTCTCTGGTCTCTGGTCTCTGGTCTCTGGTCTCTCTGGTCTCTCTGGTCTCTGGTCTCTGGTCTCTGGTCTCTGGTGTCTGGTCTATGGTTTCTGGTCTCTCTGGTCTCTGGTCTCTGGTCTCTGGTCTCTGGTCTCTGGTCTCTGGTCTCTGGTCCCTGGTCTCTGGTCTCTCTGGTCTCTCTGGTCTCTGGTCTCTGGTCTCTGGTGTCTGGTCTATGGTTTCTGGTCTCTCTGGTCTCTGGTCCCTGGTCTCTGGTCTCTGGTCTCTGGTCTCTCTGGTCTCTGGTCTCTGGTGTCTGGTCTCTCTGGTGTCTGGTCTCTCTGGTCTCTGGTCTCTGGTCTCTGGTCTCTCTGGTCTCTGGTCTCTGGTCTCTGGTCTCTGGTCTCTGGTCTCTGGTCTCTCTGGTCTCTGGTCTCTGGTCTCTGGTCTCTCTGGTCTCTGGTCTCTCTGGTCTCTGGTCTCTCTGGTCTCTGGTCCCTGGTCTCTGGTCTCTGGTCTCTGGTCTCTCTGGTCTCTGGTCTCTGGTCTCTGGTCTGGGCTCTGATGGTGTGTGGTGTGTGGCAGGGCGGGACCCGGGCTGGAAGGACCTGGTGCTGGTGCTGTCTGTGGTCCTGGCGCTGGTCGGGTGCTGCTTCGCCTTCGTCCAGAGCAGGAAGTCCAGAGACGACCTCAGCAAACTCAGCAAAGACCTGGAAGGACTTCAGAAGGCCGAGGAGAGCCTCCTGGACCTGCAGCACAAGTCAGTCTGCGGCCAACGCTAATGCTAATGCTAATGCTAATGCTAATGATACTATTGCTACTAACGCTAATGCTAATGCTAATGATACTATTGCTACTAACGCTAATGCTAATGATACTATTGCTACTAACGCTAATGCTAATGCTAATGCTAATGATACTATTGCTACTAACGCTAATGCTAATGCTAATGATACTATTGCTACTAACGCTAATGCTAATGCTAATGATACTATTGCTACTAACGCTAATGCTAATGCTAATGATACTATTGCTACTAACGCTAATGCTAATGCTAATGCTAATGATACTATTGCTACTAACGCTAATGCTAATGCTAATGCTAATGATACTATTGCTACTAACGCTAATGCTAATGATACTATTGCTACTAACGCTAATGCTAATGATACTATTGCTACTAACGCTAATGCTAATGCTAATGCTAATGGGCGGCACGGTGGCTGAGTGGATAGCACTCTCGCCTCTCAGCAAGAAGGTGCTGGGTTTGAATCCCGGTCGGACCAGGGCCTTTCTGAGTGGAGTTTGCATGTTCTCCCCGTGTCAGCGCAGTTTCCCTCCGGGTACTCCGGTTTCCCCTACCACTAAAAATATGAACAATAGGTCTGGAATGCGCCTCCTGTTCGACGACCCCGCTCCCATCTCTGTGTGGAGTGAGAGACAAATGCCCAAAAAATAACAATTGTAAACCGCTTTGAGACTCTGTCTGTGAAAGGCGGTATATAAATAAAGATTACTTACTTACTTACTTACTTACTAATGCTAATGATACTACTGCTACTAATAAAGCAAAGAAAGGTTTCTCCCCATGGATCTATAATAATAACTGGATAGAGTATTACTAGCTTATAGCTGTCCCACCCATGGCCACAGGGGGCGCTGTGGTACTGCAGACTGAACTCATGAGGGATACACAGAAAGAAGTCCCATAGAACTCAATGTAAATTAAAACAGCTCGACCTCAGCTGACAGAGAACCTGACAGAGAACCTGACAGAGAACCTGACAGAGAACCTGACAGAGAACCTACAGAGAACCTGACAGAGAACCTGACAGAGAACCTGACAGAGAACCTGACAGAGAACCTACAGAGAACCTGACAGAGAACCTGACAGAGAACCTGACGGAGAACCTGACGGAGAACCTGACGGAGAACCTGACGGAGAACCTGACGGAGAACCTGACGGAGAACCTGACGGAGAACCTGACGGAGAACCTGACGGAGAACCTGACGGAGAACCTGACAGAGAACCTGACAGAGAACCTGACGGAGAACCTGACGGAGAACCTGACGGAGAACCTGACGGAGAACCTGACAGAGAACCTGACAGAGAACCTGACAGAGAGCCCGACAGAGAGCCCGACAGAGAGCCCGACAGAGAGCCCGACAGAGAGCCCGACAGAGAGCCCGACAGAGAACCCGACAGAGAACTTTCATAAAGATCAGATTTTGTGTGAATGTTAGTGTCCTCTCCTCGTCCCGAACTTTTTTTCGTCTTAAATCCTTCTGTTTTCTTTAAATCCACACTTTAGTGCCACAAACTCTGCTCCTTTCCCTCTCGCTCTGACTCCGCTCTGCTGCTGCTCTGATTGGTCAGAGTGCTCTGCTGCTGCTCTGATTGGTCAGAGTGCTCTGCTGCTGCTCTGATTGGTCAGAGTGCGGCCGAGCCCCTCTGTGCCTTCTTAGCAGGTTTTCTGACATTTTGTCCTTAATCCAAATAAATTTTTTAAGGGAATGAAATCTCAGAGTGCGCGTTGGAGATTTATAACCTATAGGTCTGTGACATGCTAATGAGTTAGCATTGTTAGCCCTATAGGTCTGTGACATGCTAATGAGTTAGCATTGTTAGCCCTATAGGACTGTGACATGCTAATGAGTTAGCATTGTTAGCCCTATAGGTCTGTGACATGCTAATGAGTTAGCATTGTTAGCCCTATAGGTCTGTGACATGCTAATGAGTTAGCATTGTTAGCCCTATAGGTCTGTGACATGCTAATGAGTTAGCATTGTTAGCCCTATAGGTCTGTGACATGCTAATGAGTTAGCATTGTTAGCCCTATAGGTCTGTGACATGCTAATGAGTTAGCATTGTTAGCCCTATAGGTCTGTGACATGCTAATGAGTTAGCATTGTTAGCCCTATAGGTCTGTGACATTCAGATTCAGATTCAGTTTATTTGCCATTTGCAGTAAAAACACCACATTGGAATACATTAGCAAAAGTCTCCAGTGTGCACAGACAAATACAGACATAAAACAACATTAAAAGACAAAAATAAAACAAATAAAACAGTAAACAAATGTCACTGTGAAATCGATCGACTAAAACAGTTTCAAAACAAGTGCAAATCATTAAAGTGCTCTGTTCAAACTGATAACAGCCTGTGGATAAAAACTGTTAGCGTAACGAGATGTCCTGCATCTAATGCATTAATGAGTTAGGATCGTTAGCCCTATAGGTCTGTGACATGCTAATGAGTTAGGATCGTTAGCCCTATAGGTCTGTGACATGCTAATGAGTTAGGATCGTTAGCTCTATAGGTCTGTGACATGCTAATGAGTTAGGATCGTTAGCTCTATAGGTCTGTGACATGCTAATGAGTTAGGATCGTTAGCCCTATAGGTCAGTGACATGCTAATGAGTTAGGATCGTTAGCTCTATAGGTCAGGGACATGCTAATGAGTTAGGATCGTTAGCCCTATAGGTCTGTGACATGCTAATGAGTTAGGATCGTTAGCCCTATAGGTCTGTGACATGCTAATGAGTTAGGATCGTTAGCCCTATAGGTCAGTGACATGCTAATGAGTTAGGATCGTTAGCCCTATAGGTCAGTGACATGCTAATGAGTTAGGATCGTTAGCCCTATAGGTCTGTGACATGCTAATGAGTTAGGATCGTTAGCCCTATAGGTCTGTGACATGCTAATGAGTTAGGATCGTTAGCCCTATAGGTCTGTGACATGCTAATGAGTTAGCATTGTTAGCCCTATAGGTCTGTGACATGCTAATGAGTTAGCATTGTTAGCCCTATAGGTCTGTGACATGCTAATGTGTTAGGATCGTTAGCCCTATAGGTCTGTGACATGCTAATGTGTTAGCATTGTTAGCCCTATAGGTCTGTGACATGCTAATGAGTTAGGGTCGTTAGCCTCAGCAGGGTCGTTAGACCACATGAAACAGACCTTAGATTGTTAATGAGTTAGCCTCAGGATTAGGGTGTGGCTAACCACGCCCATAGGTTTTAAATCTTCAACGTCTGAGAATTCATTCCCTTAAAAAAGTTCTTTGGATTGAGGACGAAACGTTTGGAAAACCTGCTGAGAAGATGATGGTGAGAAACCTTTCTTTGCTTTGACTAATCCCTGTTCGACTGAGAGCTTACACAAACTTACTGCTACTGATTCTAATGCTAATGCTAATGCTAATGCTAATGCTAATGCTGATGCTGATGCTAGACACATGTAATCCAATAGGACACTCCAATAGGACACTCTCCTTGTGTCCTATTGGACACAAGGAGAGAGGAGGAGAGGAGAGGAGGA